AAAAAAAAAAAAAAAAAAAAAAGCTCAAATAAAATAAAAATAACCTGTGTGGTCCATTTCATCTAGCAGAAACCGCCATACCACAGCAAAAGGTGCAGGTTTTATAGAGTCTTATGGCTCCTCTTTACCTAGGTCGTCGGTTGGCGGTGCTTTGGATGAGCCGGGCGCCTGCTCTGGGGCTGGGGGTGAAGGCAGCGGCTCAGGCGGGAGTGAGCAGGACGAGGCTGCCGCTTGCTCCCCAGCAGCTAGGCTAACTTCACATCGAGGTCGAGTCTCTGTCTCACCATCGTTGCCGTTGTCTGACTTGTTGCTGGTTGTGTTTTGCTTGAACCATTTTCGAATATCCATGGCAATCCCGTTAACGTTATTTGTGTTACAGGCTGTTAACGGTACAGCAGAAAGCTGCGTCATGACAGACAGCGTTGACAGTGACGTTACTGAAGAAAGGCAGGAATTTTATTTAATTACCATTGAATTAAAACTAAACTGGCAAATAGAATACGGACTTCACTATCAATGTGTTCTATATTGTTATGTCAACATTAATTTTTTTTTTTTCCCACTCTTTTCAACTGAGCATGCAGACACATAAAATAAGGGTGCAATGCATGCTTATGCACCTTCGTAAAACCGGGCCTGGTTCATTGTTTTTTACTGAAAATATGTCACTGTCTTCATTTATCATGTGTAATTTCACTAGCAGCAAACACATTTAAAAGGAGACGCTTGTCAAGTCTTTTTACGTACGCTGTCCGTGGTGCTGAAATCCCCACTCCCGGCCGCACTCCCAGCCGCACTCGCACAACACGTATCCCCGGGGGGCATACGTGTTGTCCCCCCCTCTGGTCAGACAAACTAGTGATAATCTGGCTTCTGGTCGGAGTAAATATATTAAATGCATTTATAAAATGGAAAGGTGAAATCAGTCAGTCTGATTGTTTCTTAACTGTGATATAATGAGCATATACCCACGGCTACAATTTTAAAGCCTTACAGCATATCACCAGCTAGAAGCAACGATGTAGGCCTATCCATGACAACAATAAGCCGAGTGGAGCTGTAGTTGCAGGGGGAGGCTGGTCGGAGCAGATCTGTGATTGATAGCTAAGCAGCTAATTGCATTTTTTCAGTAAAGTCTTTCACAAGCAGAAAGAAGCATCAAAATTGGCACAAATACTCCTTGGGGGATGTTCTTTTGATAAAACCCATTAGCCACACAAAAATCAAGATGGCTGCCATTTTTTCCAAGATGGCCGCCAATTCAATCCCAGAAATGCTATTTTGGGGGCAACTTTGTGTAAAATTGTCCAATAAGTATAATCTTGATATCTAATCATACATGTTTGACCACAGAGAAGCCAGATTTATTGTATTGGAGAGGCCAAGAAGCTTCCTTCTACCATATTTACTCATGCTACATATCTACTCCACTGTTCCATCTGTATACTCCACTGTTCCATCTGTATGAGCTCTCTGTGATCAGGGTGGCTTTCCTGATCCCTCAGAACCCTCTCATCCCCTCCATCACTCATTCAGTCTCCTCCCATCAGGCAGGAGATACAAAGTCCCACTGGCCAGAAAAACAATTTACAAAAAATCATTCATTCCAACTGCAATAACAGCCCTCAACAGCAGAGGAATTATAATGCTTTGATCATGACTTGCTGCTGGTCCTTTTCTTTTCTTTTAAGTGTCAATGTTTTGTACATGCACCTTTTTTGCGTGTTTTTTAGATCCTGTAAATGTCTTGGATGTGTTTTAAATGTCTTCTGTGTGTGTGTACACCTGGTGTTGAGCCCTGTCGAAAACAAATTTCTGTTGCCTTTGGGTTCCAGACAATAAAGTTTTCTATTCTATTCTATTCTATTCTATTTCAGCCATTGAAAGAAAATATTATGCTTACTGATCTCTAAGCTGCTAGACATGGCATAGGAGAGAGTGGCTTAAGATGAGCCAGTGGGTAAGTTGACTCACACACTGTTTTTAAATTAGTTTATAACCCTAACCCTAACCCACAACACAACCGTTCAGCCCGAGTTAGCTATATAGCTAATTAACATCTGCAGTCTCTGTGGCTTCTCTGCTACTGTGCAATTTGTTGTCATGTGACCATAA